TTCTTCTTGGTGTGCTTTCTCGTACATAATATTGACGGACATTGTCCAGATACATGCACAAGGGGTCTTGCTTGCTTCTCTCAACAAGTACACACTCGCCACAGTGAAGGGCTACACGCTTAGCCCTTACAGTAGACCACCCCTACCTTTATTTCCGACAAGAGATTCTGTTATACTGCTGAGCAGATATATAGGGACACTTGTGGGTAGGACCTGACAGGCAGTTCATTAGAGTTAGGACTGACTTCTGCCCAGGTACGTATATACCCGTCGTCGTTCCCTGTTCTTTGCCCTTTGCTGTACAGCCTAGGTGTCTGAGTGTGCGTTTTGTTAGAGTTAGGACTGACTTCTGCCCAGAGTCACCACTTTCTTCTGTCTGTGTGACAAGTACATGTATTGGGGTCCTGTTTGCAGCCCAGGAACACACCACCCCAGCCGATCTCTTGCCGTTCTCTTGCCGTTCTCTTGCCGTTCTTCTGTTCAGCCCATCTAGCTGTGACCTTCGCTGTTCGCATCGTTAGTAAGGAGTATACACGACTCTTACAAGCAAGTGAAGGATTCACGAGGACCGAGCTGGTGATGGGTACACTCGAGCTGGGCCTTCATGGCGTAGTTTGCAGGCAAGAACTGACGGCGAATGGCCTCTGCCAGTCTGACCAAGTAATGAGGGCGAGCTGCTTGGCAGGGCGAAGATTGACATACCAAGACATAGCTGTAAGGACCAAGCGGGTGGTCCTTCACTGAGTCGATGTGGTACTTTTCTCGAGAAGTGTGCAAGACCCCTTGTGCATGTATACTGGACAATGTCCGTCAATATATATACACAAGGAACACCAAAGAGAAGACGAAGACAAGGGACAGATGGGATGAAGGGCAAGTGGAGAAAAGAGATGGAATAAAGGTCAAGAAGAAGGGGCAAGGCTCACCTGGACAATGTCTGTCAATATATATACACAAGGAACACCAAAGAGAAGATGAAGGCACTGGCCAGGATGAGTCAAGATAAACACTGGGAACGGGGAAGTATAGTATACGCACAGGGTCAGATGGGATGAAGGGCAAGTGGAGAAAAGAGATGGATAAAGATCCAAGATTCCACACGCCCGAGTCCTCTGTCCCTGATGCAAGAGCAGTCACGCAACAAGCCACACAAAACAATACACTGAAACACCAAAAGTGGCAGTGAACTGGAACCGGAACAAGAATGGGGAAAGCGGCAATAATAGATGTGGCGAGAAAAGGACGGGGAAAGCGGTGATAGGGAAGGTGGCATCGTGAGCGTCGGCGATAGCCAATACGCGAGCAGAATGGTTAAGTCGCAAAAGGCAGTGATCGCCGAAACGCGGCTGAAAACGGATAAGTTGTGAGCAGTGCCCACTGCTTACACTAGGGACACATTTTTGATGGCGAAGAATTCTCAGGCTACTCAGGCAAATTGACATCGACAGCCAGAGGTATACAAGGTTGGCGACTTGGTTTACCTTAACACCAAAGATTTTCGACATGAGTATAAAACCGCTTCTCCTCAAAATTCCGCAAAGCTTGTGCCGCCCTGGGAAGGTCCTTATACCGTCACGGCGGCTTTTCCCCACCAATCCCTCTATGATCTCAACCTTGTCCTCTCCAAGTCAACCTGTACCACCTGTCATCATGCCTCCCTCCCAAAACCTTTCCGGACCTCCCCCAGATACCACGGTGAGGTCTCACCAACAATTCTCTCTTCTGATCACCGCTCTTCACCTCGGGTTTTACAAGTGATTGAAGAAAGGGTTCTTAAACCCAATCAACGTCACCCCGGGGTTCCTCAGGTGTGAGTACGAGTGGCGGGAGAGCGAGTTAGTGGCCGATGGATGAGTAGAGATGAAGCGGAGAAATATGAAGGTTGGGACACTGCGTGGGAGGAGTATCTGGGTGATGACGAGTTGTATTTGGATATGGTGGAAGTTGTGGAGTTGTGAGACTGTGTGTCATTCGTCAGGTTTAGATTTTTTCCCTCTAACTATTTCCTTTCTTCATGACCTTCATTTTTTATCGTTGCTAATCTGTTCAATAGTATTTCAGCCCTTTTCGCCAGAGGAATCTTCAACTTGTGGTCTCATCCAGGTGGGGGAGAGTGTAAGAGGCTTGCCTCATACCCTTCCTGATATACGACCCGTCGACCCTTTTGGCTGCGACTCTCTGTCTTGACTGTTGGACTGCATACAAGTAAGCATTAGCGGAGGGCAGCCTGTTGCGTTTGAGTGCCTTGACCCAGCAAATGAGAAGCGCTCCTGCTATGCATGCATGCAGGAGGCGGCCTGATAGAGCTGTGGGATGAAGGGCAGAAAGAACTTAAACAAATGCACTGTGGGAACTCACCGCGTGGGAATTTTTGTCCAGACGGCGTACCCCGCATGGACAGTTGTATGGACAGAATGTCGCGTGGGCGTGCGGCGGCGGTCAGCGCCAGATGGGCTGGGCAGGCGTCTGGGCGGGGACGGTGCATGCGGCATGGTCCGCTCGATAGGTCCATGTACTGCCCACACAATCCCACCTGGCCGTCGCATGGACTCTGCTCCTGTCCACCCGACCCCCCTCCCCCCTTGGCCAGCACCGCAGGCGCTCCAACAACGCTCAAGTTCATCTTAGTTCTTTCTCATCACTACCCATCCAGCACTACTCTAATAAACTACATATACGTACCTCCATCTCCCAGCTTTCGTCTTCACTATCCACATACCTGTATGTCCATCCCAAGCCGAGTACATACATGCCTAGGCTCACAAACCGGTGCTCTTCTAGAATATTCCATAAGAGACAATCACTCTCCAGCTCATCCCTGGCGACTTGCTTCAATCAGCTTCAAGCACAATGCCTTCCTCGGGTCCTTTCAAGGTGCCGCAACAGGTACGTTGGTAATCGTGCATTGGGGCCTACCCATGTCTGTACATGATTCGTCCAGTTACTGATGCCCTATTACAGGCCTTTGTTTGACCCTTACCCAAGAGAGGTTGCCATTGACGTTCAATCCATCCAAAAGGATATGCACATTGTAAGCCATTCAGTGGGAAAGGGCTGCGATTAGTCTTGTGCAGCGAGCTAATATAGGCCATAGCCTCAGAGAGCCTTTGTCCGTTGCCGCTATCCTACTTGCCTTCTAGGCCGCGTGATGTAGTACCGAATCGGCTCAATAGGAAGGCTGATCACAAGTTCGAGCCGGCTTCTCGACCAACATCATCTTCATTCGCTTCCCCTGTTATCACCAACCACAGGCCTGCTGAGGCACCCACTCTTCAAAATAGACCCTGGTCGGCAGTTCATCCTAAGCATCCCTATCGCGCGCGTAAGTCTCGCTGCTGTCAGGTCTGATCAGTGCTAATTGGAGATACTAGCGCACATAGCCAGTCTATGATCCCTTTTCTGCTTCTCCGCACGACAGTCTCTCCAGTCTCGCAGCTCGTCTTTGGTATGACTCTCTTCGGCTATGATCGGTTGAATTGTGAACTCCTTCTGACGAATATGAATCACAGGTGCATTTCTTTTAATCGACACTCATATGTAACATTCCTTTCGACAATGAACAAAAGTAAAGTAACTATGAATGGGCTGATCATTTACCACTCTGTAGGAGGTGGGGTACTCCTCTTACACTAGTGTAGGAGGTGCGGTACTCCTCTACACTAGTTTTGTGAATGGCGAGAGTCACAGCTAGATGGGCTGGACAAAGAACGGCGAAAGAACGGCAAGAGATGACGGAGAACGGCGAGAGATCCGGCTGGGGCGGTGTGTTCCTGTGCTGCAAACAGGACCCCAATACATAGACTTGTCACACAGACGGAAAAAGGCGGTGACTCTGGGCAGAAGTCAGTCCTAGCTACTACTAACGCACACACAGACACCTGAGCTGTACAGCAAAGGGCAAGGGACAGGGAACGACAACGGTATATACGTACCTGGGCAGAAGTCAGTCCTAGCTACTACTACTGCCCAGGATTTAGCTATGCACT